GTGCCTCCCACCCAAATCAGCCGCACAAGCGGGCAGTAGCCCCTTGTCGCTGCGGCAGCGGGTGGGCATCGCGGTGGGAGTGCTGAGGGCGCTTAAGGCGGTGCAGAGTCATGGGCAGGTGCACGGCGACCTCAAGCCCTCCAATGTGCTGCTCACTGTTGCCTGGGAGGTGAGTGCTTTCTTTGAGATGTGTGCCTTGCCCTCACACACTCTATTTGGCTGGCATGCCCTATTGAGTCCACTAAAGAGCACGGGCAGGTGGACGGCGACCTCAAGCCCTCCAATGTGCTGCTCACTGTTGCCTGGGAGGTGAGTGCTTTCTTTGAGATGTGTGCCTTGCCCTCACACACTCTATTTGGCTGGCATGCCCTATTGAGTCCACTAAAGAGCACGGGCAGGTGCACGGCGACCTCAAGCCCTCCAATGTGCTGCTCACTGTTGCCTGGGAGGTGAGCGCATTGCCCTGCTCTAGGTGACTTGGGAGGTGATTTTGCTCCTGCTTGGGAGATGAGTGCCATGCCTCTTAACAAGGCATGAGCATTTGAGTCCAGTAAAAGCTGGAGTCGATTTCTGCTACTTGACTTACGGTTGTGTTTGGTGGTCATCGACAACTTCCGAGGCCTTTAATCTATGTGCGACAGCCTCTGGACTCTCATCTGTGTACGACGAAGTGTCCGTGGAGGAGATTGAATTGTCGACGTCGAAAAGTTTTCGCTGGTTGGCGAAAGTGCCAGTCGACGAGGCGCTGGTCGATGGGATTAGTTTGGCATTTAAGACGCAAGTTGCGTCGACAAAATTGATGAAATTGCCATTTCGACGGAGTGCTGATCGACGGAATTAAGCTCGACGAGGGCATCGCCGAGTAGAGCGTTTCCTGTCGACAAGATTAACTCGTCGAAAGAAAATCGAATGTGCGCGAATTTCGTTTAATCGCAAGAGAATGCTTGTGATTTTACCTACCGCGGATACAATGGGCCCACCTCACCTCCTTCATGTATCTGTCACAAGCACATTGTATCTGTCACAGATACATGTGCTTGTGGTTTCACCTGCCGTTGCTAACTAAGCAACACACAAGCATGGTCGTTGCTATTTGATTTCTTTTCCCTTGTACCATTGTTTTGTTCAGTCAATTTTTCCTAATGAAGCTATGCTTGAATTCTACCAAGGCAACCAAGCAATCTGTCGAGAATCACTGACAGAGCTCTGTCTGTGCGTCCACGCTAGTCAGCTCTGCATTCTCCGCAGCCATCATTAATCCCATTCACCTCGTCAAAAGGCTCTAAGCAAATCGAGCTCCGTCATTTCTTCATTCGCGACTTCGTTCAGGCTAGACTCCTTCGGCTCAGCAAGGTTGGCTCGGCAGCCAACCTTGCCAACCTTCCCTTTTCACGACAATACTTTTTCGGGGGCTGCCCGAGCAATTTCCGAGCGCATTGCGTATTTGCATATGTACGCTAGAGTATGAACGCAATACGCTTTCCCAACCAAGCGTACATTCAACGTAGGTTAGGAAAGACACAAATCTTGACCCAAAAAAAAAAAAAAATCAAGTCGTGTTTTAGTCGGTTCGACTTGGAGTCAAGTAAATTTCAATTTGGCATTTCATCACGTTTGCCCTCAACCCTCTCTATCTTTCTCTCAATTGCAGCCAGGGTGGCATCATGCCCTACCCCATCCATGACTGCCCGCACAATCCTCACCTCTCTCACTCCCCTCCTCACCTGCCCCTGTCTCTCCTGTGGGCCACACTCTGCCAGGCGCGGGTGGGTGACTGGAGTGCGGTGCGCATGGGTCAGCGCGTGCTCGTGGACATAGGCGGACACCAGGAAGGTTCCTGGACGAGCTGGAGTGGGGAAGGTGGAGGCAGCAAGGGTGGCAGCAGTGGCGAAGCTGGCAGCAGTGGCAAGAGTGGCCATAGTGGGAGCTCGAGGGAGAGCAGGACGAGTGGCAGCAGCAGCAGTAGCAGCAGCAGCAGTGGCAGTGGAGGGTTGAAGCAGCGGAGAGTGCTGCGGTGCACGGATGGGCATGTGGATCCCACTGTACTGCACACTGGCATTGCTTCTGCCATGTCTGACATGTTCAGGTAGGGACCACATGTTCAAGTGTAGGGATGAGCAAAATCGCGAACGGGTGTTCGGTTCGCCCGGACATGTTCGGGGGCGAACCGAACTTTTCTGTTTTTCCTAAAAAAAGTTCGCCCGAACATGTTCGGGTTCGGCCCGAACATGTTCGGGCGTTCGCGGCGCACCCATTTGTACATGCCCGAACATCGAACATGTTCGGGCATGTACCGCGTTCTCCCGAACATCTCAGATGTTCGGGAAATTTCCAGCGCGACATTGATCGCGCTGGTTGGGTACGTAAGTGACGAAAAAGTAAATCGAGATGTTTCACATCTCGATTTACTTTTCCTAGGGCTCACCTAGCCTATACGCCACCCCACGTACCTTCCTAGACTAGATCGCCCATACCTACAATTAGTTAGGGACAAATGGGGTGTTAGAACGTGTATTAGGGTTGTAGCAGCAGGTTTCCGTTTCAGTTTAAAAATGCCACGGTGTATGTGGTGCAACCTTTTAGTTTCAGCAATACGTTAGTTAAGTGGACGATTTCACACGTTTCTGGTTCGCCCGAACATGTCAAAGGTTCGGGCCCTTTTAAGAGGTTCGCCCACAGTGAGCGAACCTCGAACGTACTTTTTCAGTAAAAAAAGTTCGGGCGAACCGAACGTGTTCGGTTCGCCCACGAAGTGTGTTCGAGCCTGTTCGGACGAACATGTTCGAGGTTCGTCCGGTGCTCATCCCTATTCAGGTGGGGCCCACATGTTCAGGTGGGACTGTCGCGTTATTAACACTTAGATGGCAACTAGGTGTGAATACCACAGCAGCCAACGTGAGGGTGTACTATAGTTTACCGCTTTTGTACGTTAATTTTATTTGTGTGCTTGGAGTGTATTGTACTGTACTGCAGAGCCGAGTAGCTGGGGAATTTGAGGTGGTTAGTGGGAGGCGAATTCAAGGAGGTTGCCGGAGGCGAATTCAATTCCAGCCTGTGAATTCAATTTCGAAGTCACAAGGCTGGCAGGCGAATTCAATGCCAGCCTGGGAATTCAATTCGAAGTCACCAGGCCCAGTGGGAACCCAGCTAGCACCTTGGAGACCTCGCGAGCAGCTCGGCTGACTCGCTTGGTGCACAGGAGCTTGCTTGTGGAGGAAGCAACCTAGGCAGGGGGTGGGAATAGATGTAGGCAGGAGTAGCACTCGGGCTTCTTGCTTTTTGCTTGTATGTTTCTCGTTTACTGCAATTTGCTTTCCTAATCCGAAGGGAACTAGCAGTAGGAGAAGCTAACAGCAATCTGACTGAGCCCTTGCGAGGGAGTTTAGACTTGTTGCATACAAGCAAAAAGTTTACGACTGTCTAGAGTACAGGAGACAGCTATGTTGCGCGTGACGCCCTGGAAGGGCAGCGTCCAGCGTCTGGACGGTCACGTCCGGACGCTGGACGCGTCAAACAGGTTTGACGCTGGACGTTCGGGAATTTTTTTTCGGGTAGCCCAAAAAAAAAAAAAAAAAAAAAACCGCACGAAATTGACGTGCGATTTCATCGCGAACAGAATTGCGATGAAATCGCCAAGTATGGGTTGTGTTTTTTACCTACAGAAACGCAACCCTCATTTATTCCCCCCCACACATTTGTACCCATCCGAGTCTACTTCTCCCAACTACGTCGACCTCCATCTAAACTAGAGATCCAGATCCAGGTCGACATTACACAGATCTGTTTCTCTCGACATTGCCTAGCATACCGAGGCCTAGAATCCGCCAGTCACGCTACTAAGCCTTCCTAGCTCAATTTAGGTTAAGGCGATAAAGTTATCATGTCAACTCCTAGTCCCGCCAATCATTCTGGTTGTAGTGGCTCCACACCACCTTAGGAGATTTTCAGGATTTCCTGGATTTTCTGAAGTATTTATAACTTAAGGTGAAAAATGTGAACTTGTTGCATTCTAACCCCCGTGTAGCCTTACTAGGCAGGTTCTTTTTACCCCTGCCCGGGAAAAGTTTTGCCCTGCCCGGACTAGCGTCAAGCGGGCGTCCAGGGCAGAGGAACCCGGGCGTCAAGCGTCTGGACGCCCCGTCTAGACGCCAACGTCAAAAACGCTTGATGCGTCAGGCGCAACATAGGGAGACAGGCTTGGCCGCCTGGAGTAGCTCGCGGTGATGCGCCGTGAGGAATGAGTGAATTCGATCAGAAGCTTCATACTCATCAACTGCGCTCGGGTCACCGATTCCCTGCGAGGATGATGGAGGGACGTGATCCGCCGATCAGGACACCTGGATTTCGTGCGGGGGAGGGAGATAATAGCGTACGCGGCAATCAAGGATCGGATCGGGAGAAGGAAGGTAGCGGACAGAGAGAACAGCCGCTGAGCTCTGCTTGTGATTCACCAGCAGACGGGAGCAGAATTCGCCCTGTGGGGCCTGGACCTCGACGCGGACCTCCTGATCTGGGAGGGGAAGAGCATTACGAAGAGCGGCGAAGTCAGAGAGGAGACGATCACCATGAAGAGCGACGAAGCCAGCGAGAAGGAGATGATCAGCACGAAGAGCGACGAAGTCAGAGAGGAGGAGAACAATATCAGGGATTCTCAGCGGGAGGATACGAAGCCATGGAGGCCGGAAGAGGAGGTCGGCCTGCTGGGAGTGGGGAAAGAGGGACAACGAGCTGGGGTATTGGCAGATCGATGAGCACTGCGCCACCGAAAATCGAGGCGCCAGATCGCCTCTCGGGGACGCCAGGAGAAGAGCCCACGCTAAAGAACTACCTCATGATGATAGAGGACATCCGCTACTGTTGGGATAGGGAGGGACTGGATCCCATCGAATTCTTCAGAGGTTTGGGGAGGACTCTTAAAGGAGAAGCGTTGACGCACTACCGCGTGGAGAGGTAGGGGCTGCTGATGCAGAACAAAAGAGGAGACTTCCCAGCAGTGATGATCACGGACCGATTCTTAGAGAGTCTGGAAGAGCAATTCCCGGGGCATTTGGTAGATCGGATGGCAGAGTTTCATAACTTCATTCGAGCCACTTCAGAGTCGCTACTGGCCTATTACAATAGGCTGCTGGAGCTGGCGGAGGACATGGGTTGCATGGAAGAACGCATCTTGGTGACCAAATTTGTCACCAGGCTGGATAAAGACCTGATAAGCGACATGAGGAGTCGGCTATACTCCCTGGGAGTACGAGCCACGCTGCGGCAGGTATACCAGGTGGCGAAGGAAGTGGAGGAAGGGAAGAGATTTTACGATGGCATGCAGGGGTCAAGTTCCAGTCGGCCGAACGAGCGAAGAAGGCCAGCTTGGGTAGCGGTGGAGGGCAGAAGGGGAGAGGAGGAGCGAAGAGAAAGACCGCAAGAAGATACGAGGCGCTGCCATAAATGTGGGGAGCAGGGACACCTTCGTAGGGGATCACAT